ACATGATCAGGTTTTTGTTTATTCTCAAAACCCTAAGATTGATCCATAAAAGTCTTTTCATCAAGTTCACCTTGCAAAAAAATAGTTTTAACATCAAGTTGTTCAAGTTCCCAATTAAAATGTGCAACTAATGCAAGTATAGTCCTAATAGTGGTATACTTAACATTTGGAGAAAAAAATTTATTATAATCTATTCCTTCCTTTTGTGAGTAATTTTTAGCCTAGCCTTAAACCTTAAAGCCTTTCCTTTCGTGATTCCCTCCTTAATTTTAAAAACACATTTGCATCCAATAATAAACTTGTCTTTTGGTCTTAGGAATAACTCACATGTTTGATTTTGATCGAGGGAATTTATTTTTTCTTTCATCGCTTTCACCCAATTCTCTGATTGTTCACTCCTCAAGGCTTCTTCATACGTGTTTGGTTCCCTATCAACTAGTTTTTCATAACTAGCATAAGCAAGTTCAAAATCAAACTCTAACCTTTGAGGCACCCTATATGTTCTCCTAACTCTGTCTCTAGCTAACTGGTAATCAGACAAAGTATTTTGCTCTTCTTGATATTCCTCTATAACCTCATCTCTCTCAATATTTTCATTCTGATTATCTCTTAATTCAGTATTTTGATGTTCCACCTCAATTGAGGTGGTGGGGATTTGAACATTCAAATGTCTTAAATCCACTTAGGATTCATCACTAGTGTTTTCTTGTTGTTTTTCTCTCAAGATGTCATTCTCTGATCTTAGACACGACATTTCAGGCTCATTAAATTCCTAGATCTAGGTTCTAATTTTCCCTCATTTTAATGAGAGAAAGCAGCACAGTCAAAATTTATTAACACAATATAGTTAACACATTTAGCATACCATTTTTCATGCGGAGTATCACCATTTAAAGCAATAGAAGGTGTCAAAATAATCAGATAACATGTAGTCATAACAGCTTCACTCCAAAAAGATTTAGGAATACCAAAACTCAACATCATACATCTAATTTTATCAAGTAAAGTAAGATTCATACGTTCAACCACTATTTTGTTGTGGTGTATAAGGAATAGTTTTATGTCTAGTAATTCCACAGTTTTCACACATATCATTAAAATCATTATTACAGAATTCAAAGTCATTATCAGTTCTTAGATATTTTATCTTTTTTCCAGTTTGAGTTTCAACTTGCAATTTCCATATTTTGAAATTCTTGAAGGTTTCAATTTTATCTTTTAACAGATAAATCCACACCTTACAAGAATAATTATCAATTATGGACAAAAAAATATCTATTACCACCCATTGTAGGGTTAGTAGTAGGCCCCCACAAATCAGTATGAATATAATCCAAAACTTTAGTACTTTTATATACACCAGATGAGAAAGATAACTTATGATGTTTACTAAGCACACATTGATCATAGAAAGGCATATAAGATACACAATCTTTTCCAAATACACCTTTATCATTTAGCAATTTAAGTCATTTAATACTTATGTGAGCTAATCTAATGTGTCACTTGTGTGTGTCATCCGTGTTGGTCAAATTTATAAAGAAAAATGAATTTTTAATAACTTCAGCAGTAGTCACATAAATACCGTTTCTTTTACTACCCTTAGATGTGACAAGAGCACCCCTAATCATTTTTAACATGTTATTTCCAATTTTACCAGTAAAACCATCAGTTTCTAAAGCTCCTACTGAAATAAGATTCCTGACAATTTCAGGAATATATCTTACTCCATGTAATTTAAGCACATAACTAATGTCAAATTTTAATGCGATATCACCAATTTCAACAATTTTATATGCATGATTATTGCACAAAATAGCATGACCACTTTCAGATTCTTGCTAATTTTCAAACCGAGCTTTATTTAATGAAACGTGAAATGATGTGTTACACCTTATCCACTTATAGTCAAAGTCAAATAAGGATTTAATTGAATAAATGATTTTTTACGGGGTCTAATTGGTAATTATTAATAGTGGAAGGGCTAGAAATAAAATATAGAGAAATCTAGGATGGTAGTTTATATTATTAGTAATGAAAGAACTAAATATAATTTTGTATGAACATTGAGGACTTAACTTTGCAATTTCCTTATAGTTATCCAATTAACATTGACTTTTCTCAACCCATTTGCTCATTTCTGTGGGAGAGAAGAAAGTTAGAGACCGAAAAAGGGAGGAAAAAGGTTACCATCATCAATTTCCTTATCAATTCTTAAAGGTAAGCATGAATTTTATTTATTGATTAATGATAGTAGATTTTAGGGTTCATAGAAATTTTTCCCTAAATTC